AAAAGTTAAACTAGTTCAAAAGAACGCAGAAGTATGAGGAAAATTGTTCTCTAATGATAGCACTACGTACCCCTTCATCAACTTACGTTCTATGAAAATGTCTACAAATATCAGAACATTGTAGCCAGTAATGTTCAGCCAATTGATTCTATTCCAATTGATGGTATGTTAAGTAAAGTAAACAAAACAGGCACACTCGTGTTCCGTAGTTGACACGTTATTTAAGTGAATACATCTTAATGGGAATTGGTAACAACGTTACAAGCACATACGGACTAATATTCCACTGATATCAAAATAATTCAGTTGAAATCCGAACAAAACAAAACGTCAGAAATACGTTCACGCGATGTTGACTCGAAAATGCACGGCTTTTCTAAGAAAACGCATTGATCAGAAAGATAGACTGCTCCACAGCCCATTACTTTGGCACAGAGCCACTGTTTGGGAGTAGTTCGTCAAATCACTGATTCACTGTCTCGGAGAAAGACTCCGTCCAAATAGGTTTTTGGCTTAAGTAAGATTGAAAACAAGTTGAGATAAAAAAACTTCCACTCTTCAACAATGCGGAAAATCACCTCGTTAATCGTAAATAATCTACAATAAAATCTCAATATAATGTATTCGATATAGAGAATGAACTGAATATGGGGAATAAGAATGAAAACTAATATTTCGACGTATAGAGATTTGTTTATAGAGGAAAAATATTGAAAAAAATAAGAAGAATACGAGGAAACAAAATTTTGAGATATCGATGTTCCAGTAATACATCTGCGTTCAAAAAGCCAACTTTATTTTTTAAAAACCGAAGAGCACTAATGTATAATATTTCTCAATAAACGGTCAGTGGAGGTAATGTTCCTATAATTCATTTGTTTATGATCACCTCAATACGAGTCCATAACTATTTCAAAGGAATTAATACTGATGATTAGATTATAATATTGTTGGTGCAAATAGTAAGAAGCGATAGCGGTAATTGGATAATAGGAGACAGAAAACGGAAATCATTTAAAAATTGCGTTGAAAAACCCTTCATTAATCACAACACATTTAATTAAGCAATTAGCAAAAAACTAAACCACATTGCGGACTGGTATTTGATAAGGAATTTTCTCACAGCCATACAGGAGATTGCTCTGGTAGCGTCACATGTTGGACGCTACATTTTGTATCCACCGTTCTACGAATCAATAATTTACAACTTCATATATGCGTTTGATAAACCCAGTGGTCTGCAAATGCAACGTAGTCGATTGTAGGTACGTAATTACACTTAATTTGCGATCTAATCACGTTGATCAATGAAATAAAGTTCAATTGAAAATAATTGCAAGAATTGAACACGTTTCTCAGAAGTCTTTTCAAATCAATTCCTACTACGTCGATGGTTTTCAAATGAGATTTATTGAGATGAAAATAATGAGGAATGTAGTACAATTTGAAATATTAAGCCATGTGGTACTGAAATTCCAACAAATTTGTCTTCCAATTAAAATTCATGTGATCAATGAAAATTCATGATCAAAACATTTGCTGGCAATGAAATGAACGTTTTAATATCCTTAGTAATGTTCACCGTTCAGCTATTGCTGATGAACATTCACCAACCGACTGAATTAGCGTCTTTCTCTTGAGTATATAAATTCGGGTCAACCGAAAAACTTGTTTGGTATTGTGTATCATTGAAAACCAACAGCCATAATGTTTTTTGCAAAACACGTGTGATTGTAGTAAACGGTATACAAGCGAGACTTACAATAATTTTTATTTTTATTGTATTTATGATTCGGATTTTTATTACCTCACGTTGTGAGCCTCCCTTCGTTAAAATGCCTAGAATATAAAGGACGTTTTATTTTCGTTAACACGTGTGCCCTGCCAAATTACGCACACACTGTTCAAGTTGTCACCAGAAATCGGGCTCTCGTCGCAACACGTGGTTCCCAGCGCCGCCGAGAGATCGCGGTAGTTGTAGCTCGCTCGAGACAAGCACGTTTGCAGATGCAAATATTTCCTACTACACAGAAGCGAAGCAGTTTTTGGTATCAAATATTGATAACAGCGGTAGTTTCTACCCTGATTCATAAATAAGTTGTATATAGAGGTACGGATAGTGTTTCTGGAGCTCAAAATCATGCGTGAAATTTGTGATTCCGTCATGACACAAAAAGATTTTACTGTTTCACTGACGATCAATAAAATCCAAATAAAAATAAACACAGTCAATAATGGTAATAGTACTATGCAAGCGTGGTCCCGAATGCGTTCGGCAGCAGACAGCAATGTAGGTCGGTATAGGAGTAATACTATTATTTGTGAAAAGTAATTTGGCAAATCTGTGGTTTGTTGAAGTGGTGGTGTTGTGAAGCCCTGTGACCTCTACTTTCTCTGTATATCTAATTTGTTCGAGAAAATACGCATATTTACAAAACGGCCATTTTGGAGAATAGTATTACCTCAAGAGGAGACTTTTTTCCTGGTCACAGACAAAGGGTTTTATTTTACATAACATCTGTCTTGTGAACTACTTTCATTTTTTTTTCCAAGACCGGATAGATCTCACAGCAAAAACCTTTCAAATAAAAATGTTACAAATATACCCATTTAAGAACAAAAACACAGAAATATCTATTGATATACCAATTATAACTTCATGTGTGTAATTTATCCTTCTTTAATTTGTTAGCGCTATTTGGGGAGGTACAGCTCAAACAAAATTTTACAAAATTGAAAGTATTGAAAATAATTTTCTTCGCTGCGCAATAAGTGCCCCATGGTCTATTTCAGAGAAATTCAAAGACATTTAAAATAGGACAACTTCTGAAATGGATAAAAATATAATTAACCCGTTTCTATGTCATTCTTCATACTTGACCCAATTCAAACCCAATATCGGTAACTCAGTTTATCCGTTCCCAAGTATCCGCTCAATGCATTTACTACATGCTCCTTAATGAACATAAACCAAAAAATATTGAAATTTATTAATTAATAGTAGTTTTTGTTCTTTTAAGTGAAAATAGTTTCAGTGAAAATTAACTCAGGAATCATGAAAGTGGGAAGTAACGGTTATTTATATTAAGACCCCGTTCCTGAGGTTACCTCAGTGTGGATGTTTACTACTGTAAATGTTTATAAGAAGTACTGATAATATTATGAAATACAAACGTATTGATAAAGGTAGGAAATAAATTAAACTAGTAGGAATGCACAGCTTTCTGAAATTTTTGATATTCTTCGTGCCTGTAGTTATAACATATTCAATAACTAATATTTTTTTTAGAAGAGACATGGTATTAATTTAAATATCCAAAATATAGTGATAAATTATATTGTGAAAGAAATTAATGGCGACATTAATATAGTATGTGAAGGAAAGGTTCTAAAATTTGAACTTTGAAATTTTCAATCTTGCATACATTGAATGGAAAACAGAACTCTACTACTTTTATTAATGCTCTTTCTTCTATTACGTAAAAATAGTTAAAGAAAAAATTGCACATATTTTCCAGAAAATTTTGAAAATGTCACAGAGGCTTCATATGAAGCAGCCCAAATCAAAATATATTAATGATTTCTGGAACAGCATAATTAGATCTTACTTTTTTCATATTTACCTAGTTTCAGTTCATAATTATGTATTCTGATGGAGTTGTTCGTGACAATAAACTGTTTTCAAAATTACCGCGCAGAAGAATCGAAAACGTATTAACACAATCCGCATTCTCGTCCATTTAAATGTTGGTACCTAACCTTTAATGAACGATTATAAACCCTCCAAGGGCACACAAATCCAGTCTAAGCGCGTGCATTTTTGAGTCTCGCGCGCTGGAGATGGCTATTTTTCTCTCCAAAACCCGCGAAACTAGAAGCAGAGAAAAGAAAGCGCAAAATCATACTCTATATGTAAACTACAGTACTTCTCTGCGTCAGAATGGGTGAGCGCCAGACGCTACGATTTTAAGGAACTTCAAAACCCTGTAGAAGACAGGTTTGTTGAAACGCGAGCTATGAGCAATTTTTGATAGGTGTATTGTGTCTACACGGGGTAGAGAGTAGTTTTTGCGTAGTCAAAATAAGCCCATTATTGACAATTGACACATAACGAGTACTTTTTTGAATGCCATTGAATGGTGGCACTAGCACATTAAACGTGTGCAGACAAAACCAACTGACGGGGTTCATACGGATTGACACGTGAATATACTTATTCTGAATGAACTTTATACCAAGCAGGTGCCATATAATATTGTTCTCGAGCTATTTAGTGTTTGAAAAGAGAACCTACTGTGCTGACAACATAATTTGCATACACTAACCACATAATTATTATATTCCAATAATCAGGACTGCTTGTCACTAAAAAAATGCTAACAATTTTGAAGACTTTGTACACGGATTTTATGATCGGAAATTTGAGACCGTGTTGTTGAAGTGATTTCAATATTTATACTTCCTATACTAACCTAATGATGTTGATAGACTTTGTTTAGTTTTGTTTTGTACATTTGTGATGGCGTTAGTGAGAGTTGTGATAACTTTGAGAGATTTTGTTTTGTTCTTTGACGACGTGATGTGAAGGTATACATTGTAGACTTGTGAATGTTTTGATGTGGAAGTCGTGAGATGTTGATTTGTCGTGTATGTAATAGTTTGTATTGGACGAATGCCTAAACAGGCATATCAAACGATAAATTAATAAATAAATTTATAAAATATAGATACACTACAGGGGACAAGTAGCCGCTCAGATGGCCGAGATCATTAGGCCAGTAACGGTCTCAAACCAGAAGACCGCGGATTGGAGTCCCGCATCGGACATGAGTGTGTTTGTTTATGTCTATATGTGTGTGCCGACCTTTCATTCTTGAATATCATCATCATATCATCCATACCTCCAGGGGTAAAAGAACGCCATGCGATGTGGTGCCTTACCGTTGAGCACGTGCACGCGCACGCTGGCCACGTCGGCGTTGGAAGGGCTGCACGAGTACTTCCCCGAGTCGGCCAGCTCCGCGTGCTGGATCAGCAGGTAGGAGGTGGTGACTTCGCCCTTCTCGGTGATGACGCTCACTCCGCCGCGCGACGAGTCGTAGCTGATCACCTGCAACAATCACCAATCACCGTCACCGCACGCTCACACCGGCAGGGATCACAAACGCCCAGGCTTGTGCTGATCCACAGCGTCGAGATCGTTATTTAAATAACACGTGCATGAGAACGAATACGCAAATAAGACCTTTTAGCAGGAAGCATAAATTAGAATCGTTCTCCTCACGGATTCTAATCCTAATTCATGCTCTCTCCTGTTTCTTCGCGCGTCTCAAAGCGCTGGGTCAAGGAGACTGCATACCGTGCTAGGAATGCTTGCCAACGTACAAAACCAACTTTCAATGCGTTCAATACGCGTATTACTTAGCTTCTCTACACGATCGCTACGAAACTTCTCTCGGCTCCAGATTCTCAAACAATGCAATCTCGTCGCGTCGTATGCGGAAAATATCGGATTCGGGGAAATTACTATAATGTCAAATCTTCTTCGTCGGCGGGCTAGGAGGTGGTGAAATCTACCGGTCACTTTTGGAAGCAGTTGAAGGTCTGTTTCAGAGTTTTGTACTAAATTAATTCTTGCTCGTTGTGAGATAAAATTCATGTTTTTGAGGCAAATTAATACTATCTCGAAGGCGCGACTTTTGAGATGTGTAATCTTTTCTTCTTAAATACCTCAAAGAATTGTCAAAATGAATGATCTCCAAGTGTGGCACCAAATTCAAATTAATTCGGTCACCTAAGTGTCAACATAATTACAGAAAAGGGGGGATGCACGACAATGAAGAATCTGAATACTATGTATATCTCCTCGCAATTTGCACCGATCTTAAAGATATTTAGATCAGCACTAACAGACCTAACTCCTGACTTGTGTACATGTCGTACATTGTCATACATGTCTTACCACAACACCTATATTGTGTACATGTACCAATTTGGAGATGAAAAGGCTCTAATCTGCCCAAGTTATGTGTGACACAATTTCATTGATATAGATATTATGATAACAACCTTTTTAATCTTAGGGTTTATCAGAACAAATTTTACTAATCTGTCTAAAGCTTTTAGACAAAATCACATACTATTCCTCTCTACACCATATAATGTCGATAATGATTAAAAATTATATATTCCTCTTATATTACTTTGATATTATACGGTAGTTCCTGACGAGCTACAGCCCTATGGATCGCATAATTTTAACTGCGAACTAAAGGATTCGTCAAAAGATTTCATCAATTTTGCACAACAAAATTTTCAACCAATGAAGAAGTAGTATTTTGTACATGTAAATGCAAACAAAACTTGATTTACTTTCTCTACAAGAAAGGTACACTAGGAATGTTTGGGCTCTGGAAAATTCACATACGTTGGTCAGCTTTGCCTCCGCAATGATGGGTGAAGCAGATTAAAATATTTTGAATATTTACCATTATTTCATTATTGACGTGTCAAGTACAATAATACTGAAGAGAAGATTTGAGATACAGAATTTTATTCTCAGTGAAAAAATATTTTTAAAAATATCGCTGTCTTTCGTGCTTACTGATGTGTATAATACAAAATATTTGGTTCAATATATTTCAGGAAAACATGACAATAAAGTCTTAAAGGCCGCACTGTTGACATGTAAAAGCGATAAAATAATCTAAAACATAGAACTTCATGAATGCAAAATACTGATCATTGTAATTAGCACATTCAGATGTACCCTTTTGTAGTTTTCAAAATAAATGTTTAATTTATTAAATTAAAGAAAAACAAAGCGCAGAAAACTTTATTTTAGAGTTTTTTAGAAGCAATTATTTGACACATCTCAGTGATCATCTGTCATTTAATTGCTTCAAAACAGCATTTTTTATTTTTCAACGAAAATTTTAACGAAAAGTTTTTATAATTACAATCACTTTAAAAAAGTTACTTAAATAATTAAATTTAGGAAACTACAAAAAAGTATAATCTGGACTTGAACAGTTGAAAGATGCAAAGCGTCTCCTTCCAGGCAATGAGTTCACGAAATGCATCCCGAGCTGCACTTCATCCAATATTTGGGGATTTTCCACAGAAGGCCCTAAACGACTGGGAACCCGGAGACAACTTCGACGGGCTCCTCGAGACGAGCTCCGAAAACGAAACTCATTCCCGACGGCGGCGGCGGGGGCGGCGCTCGCAGCCTACGAGGCCGTGCGAGGAGGGCGGGAAGGGCGGGAGGGCGGGAGAGCGGGGCAGGGCGCAGAAAGAGCCTGCTCGCTCGCGGTCGCCATTATTACGTACACTACTATCGATATTCGTTACGAGAGATCTCGACGACCGCCCCGATCGAGAAAGTTATCTGCGGCGGGAATCGATGCCGGGGAGCGGGGCGGAAGCGAGGGCGGAAGCGGGGCCGGGAGGGGATTGGGCGGCGCGGGTGGGGGCGAGGGCCAGGGTGTGTCTGGGCGGAAGCGGGCGTAGAAGGCGGGGGGGATAGGGCGGCGGGGGGCGCGGCCGGTGGGCGGTGCCCGGGCGACGCGGCCAAGTTCCGCCGGAGACAGTACCGGGCGCGGGGGCCGGGGGGGGGGAAGGGGGCCTGGAACGAACTGACGATAATCACGGAGGAGGACGCACGGGGAGGACCGCGGGAGGAGAAAAGACGCGAGGCGGAGGAGGTGGGGGTGGGGGTGGGGGCGGCGGCCGGAGACTCAAGCGTCGCCAAAGGAACTGCGTTCCTTGTTACGGAAGCAGCTACGGAAGAATACACAAGTGTCTTTATCACAAGACGTCAGCCATCAAGGGCTCTATGGGACCTCCTCATCTCGTCTAGGCGGTGCAGGAAGCGGCTGAAGCGGAGAGAGGGCGAAAGGGAGCGGATAGGAAATGGAGCTGTCTGAAAGGTGGAGGGTGTTTCATTTTGATGAGAACGTCCTTGATTTTTGGCTGGCTGCAAGAGGTTGTGTGGAAATCGTGTTCCTGAATGGAGGTATCTGTGCGATGAGACTTTTTTGTGAACGTATAAAGTGAACGAAGGGATTGGTGAAAGAAAATACAAAACAAAAGCCTGAAACATTCCTGCATCGAAGAATCTTCGAGTACCATTGCTTTCAATGGAATTCCAGGATACGAAATTAACAATTTTTAAGAATTAAGTAAAGAAGATGATAATAAGGTGTGTTCATGTTAAAAAAACATCGAAATTTATGTTATATATTAGTTCCGAAAATTGAAAATTCATGAATACGCTATAACGAAATAATATTTTCTTCAACTACTTTAATTTCACATTCTCTAATAGATACTTTTCCATCTTCCATCATTGCTTTCGACAACGTTAGACTGCTTTCGAAAGTATTACGTTTCATTCTTTAAAACAATCCATCTTTATAATTATGAAATTTTGTTAATCAAGATCCTTAACGCAAATACTAGTTGTCAACAGGAAGAAACCGTCAATATTCTCTGACATAAAATCATACTTCTTGATTTCATGGAAAAGTGCAATCACAGCTTCACGTGTATTTAAAAAAAATACTTACTTAAAAATACAGTGATCGAATTATCCACTTCGTTAATGCGTCTTTAGTTCTTTATTTTTTTACTTCACAACAAAAGTATTTATTTACGTTCGAACCTTACATTCTAATATTCAAGTAATCATAAAATGGTATGTGAGATATGCCGATGTTTTAATTTTAGACAAGTTTTCTGTACCTTTGTTTCATTTCCACACTGTTAAGAAAGCAGTACATTCAATGTAGTGATAAAAGATTGTTATTTTCAATAGTTTATTGATGTACTGTTTGTGTATTCTACTTTACCTTTTGTAATATTCATTAACTCTTCTTTCTTTCTTCATTAATTCTTTTTGCAATACTTATTAATACTCAGTTTCAATATAATAATTATTTTTAAATTCTTAAAACTTTGCTTACTAATAATGAAAACAGTTTATAGTGACAAAGACATCGCACTAGTATATATAAATTGACTTCTGAGATGTTAGAACTCACCCCACTGGCTATGCACTACGTAACCTTGGCTATCAGATGGATATCCAGGTATATTTTGAAGACTTCCTATCTGTTCTCTGCACAACGTCCACGACGAGGTCTGCGGCCGTTCATCACCCTTCATCCAGGGCGTTTCATCACCTCACACCGCCCTATCACCGCCACCGCCACCCACATTTCCTGCACACCGCATGCAACCAGGAGCTTCGCAATCTCAGGTTTAAGGCCCACTCAAAACGACGGGGGAGGGGGGTGGTGCGGGGGGGGGGGAGCCAGATTTCGTTCGAGAACGCTCGGGGCGAGAGGGTAAATGGTTTTGTATATACGCGTTCCGCTTTTACGACGGTATAAACGCACACGCCGCCTCAGGCCGTCGGGCGGTCAGTAGAGCGCGCGACGAGCACAGACCCGTGCATACGGCTTCGGATTCACGTCTGCTGGGGACTTCGCGGAAATGAAACGTTTGTCGGGTTGTTCGTTGTAATAGATGTAATTAACACAGCATGTGATTGTTTTTCTTTAAAAAATGGGTCTTTTTATTTTATTTTCTGCTTGAATTCATTTTCGTAAATATTTTATAGGGAATGAATATTAGTTAGGTTCAGGTTTTGAGGGGAACTACGTAAAATTGACACATTTTTAATTAAACCACGTTAGGTATGAACTCGTGACCCATTAATATATTATTAAGAGAAGGTTGTTTGTGTTGTTGTCTCTTTGACAAAGAAATCATGTAAGCGTACGTGATGTATCTAACCTGACGTTTTTTCAAAAATCGCCAAAATATGCTCTGTGAATTTACCTCTGTAACAGACATTTGGGAAATGAAACATATGTGAATTTGGTCATTGTACTTGTAAGGAATGTATTACAAAGGGACGTCATTTTGTTCTTTGGTGCGTTCTTTTTTCTGAACGAATTAGAAATGAATATTACTTTAGATCACATTTCCATAGACGTCGGAGGAATAGTATATTTGTATTTTAATCAATTGGGGCATTAACTCCTACGAAAAGAAAAAAATTACGACGTTATTTTAAATGGATGGTTTCTCGCACTTGTAGTTTAACGATTCCTTTGCACAAACATAAACTAGAGAATTTGTTAAAAATTACGAAAAAAAGCTCTACTGATCTGTAACTTGAAATATTTCAAAAATGGAAAATTCACTACTTTTTCCTTTGGAATTCTAATTAACAAAGTAAATTAATGTGTCATGAGAATGAGTTTTCCGTTTTAATTTTTACGTACACAATTTTTATGGGCAGTCCGAACACTGTAAGTGCCTATCAATGTTCTATGAAAAGAAAAGTAAAGAATCTCTCTGGTGGCAAGGTCACGAAAATGTCGTTAAGGGCGAGTGGTTTGTTGAATTTTCTTTTCAACAAGCAATTGTGTTTGAGCCTATAGGAAATATGCTTGTAAATGGTACGCAAGAATACTTTTTGAATTAAGGTATTCAACATAATTTTTAAGAAAATGAAGTATTAGTTTGAACAAACTTGTACAATAAGGATAATTGACATAGTCCTATTTTTTTTAAACTGAGCATTTCATTTTATTTTCTATAGAATATGCTTGGCAACATTTAATAGGCAAGATGTTTTAGGGAATTACTCATGCAAATAGAAGTCAGATGATAAAAAAAGATTGCAGGAGTGGCGAAGAAAAACCTAAAATTATCTCCCGGAAAAGCCATTTGTGTGAAGTTAGACGGAATACATTTTATGACATTTACGTTCGGGCAGTGGTCCGATTCAGATGGATGCACCCATGTGCTAAGCAACTCCATGTCGGAGTTGGTTTGGAGGGTTATATGAAACTTGACCTTCTAATATATTAGTACCGCGTCTACATTTATATTATTTTGGGTTTCGTTTATTTAAATATTATGACTTTGTTGAATTCTTAATTTTTATTTAGATTTCTTCATGCCTTGGTTTTTGTTTTTATACTCTAGCCATGATGAAGGAATTAAAATATTCCGAAATGTTGGCAAACTAATTGCTTCATTGTTCATAATTGACCAATCCCGTGGACTTAGACACATTTGCTAAGCATCTATAATAACTAAGGACTATTCATTTGATGCATCCCATCAGTCCATTTTAGACGGACACACAAATACAACGCAGGTTTCCTTAATATTTAATAAATTATTGACGAAAAATAAATGTTTCTATAGTCTTACATGATTCTCATGATTCAAGAATTAATGTAGTGTGTTCTATTCAGCGACGAGGAATGACGAAACACTTGTAGTTATATGTAAATGTAATCTGTAATCGGTTGCATTATTAATGTACAGAAATTACACTATTATTTGCATTCATGGTTTTGGATGTTTTTGTAAGTTAATCGACTCAAGGGATCACGAATAATAAATCTACATAAATAATGAAATAAATGAATACACATAAATAATTACGTTAATCACTGCATCGTTTATGTGTTCCCAGAGAGTGTTTCATGCTGTTACGTATTACACAAACAAGACAACATGCTGCTCGAGTGAGAACGCATTTGGAGCAAGTACTTAAATACAACAAATACTCTGTGATCAAAGGTGGCATGTAAGGCTGTATTTTATGAAGCATTAATAATTGCATAATAAACACACTTCAGTTATTAGAATCATGTTACTTAAACAGCGGGTTTAGAGAAAAAGACGTTAAGCATCAAAATTGAGGCCTTGCAGGCTAAATGTACAATAGTAACAAGATTTTGCTCATTTTAATTTTTAAATAGTCCGATTATGCCTTTTATAAAATACAAATACCAAGCTTAAATGATTGATAATTTATGACTTGGAGAGCCTGCAAGAATCGACGGACAATGAGAACCTCTACAAGGCAGTTGTGGCTGGCACCAAAATAAATGTAACAATTGTAAATTGGCGATTCAAGTGGATGACACCTTTAAATCAGGAAATTGAAGTAAATTTTGACTTAAATTGTTTATTTTACGTTTTATTCTTTAAATGTTTGTATCCCTTATACATTACAACATATATTAGAATTATTTATTGGCCGTGAATTAAAAGAAAAAATAAGAATTAAGAATATTTTATTCATATAAATAAACAATCACGTAAATTTTGTAGATAATGTTGAAATATTTCAGAAGTTTCAAATTGTGATTAATTATAACAAAATCACTCAAGTGTAAGGAAATTAAATATACTTTCTTTCCAACATGTTCATTTATCTCGGGCAAACGTGAAAACAATAGCATTGTCAAGCCTAAGAGGTCGTGTTCTCCGTATGGAAAGAGGACAAGATCTCCTATGTCAAATAGGCATTACATGCTTGTTCTCAGAGAGACGTTATTTTCTCGCTTCCAAGTGATCAGAAACGAAATAGACCTTTTCTTGGACTTAGTTGTTTCAAGCACCGAAAATATTTGGTGCTCCATTATGTATTGGTATCCTGGAAAGGCTTTCGCGAAAGAAGAAATGAATCTTAATTGGATACCAGAGTAAACATTACACTCAACATTTTTTCAATTTTCAATTGATCTAAATTTTTCTTAGAACCAAAGAGTGTTTAATGACGTAAATATTATAAGAGCACATTCTGAATTGGAATTAAGAGTTTTTCATGTTGATATACTATTTTTTATAATAAAGTGCGAAATATCAATGTCGATGTACCAATGCTTTCAGTTCAATTTTTTGAGCATCTACGCTGTGTAATACTAATATCAACGACACTATAAAATATAATATTTTTTTCGTAAAAATAGTCCTCACGCGAAGTTAATGGTGAGCTAATTTTATACGCATATCTTATTCAGTTATGTACAGAACATTTTTTTGCAATAAAATTCAACTCTAGTAGGACTCTAAACTCTCAGTACTCTGAAAACATCCGGTACAATTTCAAAATGTTTACTATTTATCGGAAGATTATTACATCTATCACTATTTACTTATTTAATTAAACTAAAATATTTTTAACCAAGATATTGACCCCGTAATACTTTTTTATTCCCCGGACTCTACCTATGAACTGTTCTTTTCAGATTCCTTCAAATGTCAGAATTCCCGTGGTGGTACTCTGCTTTGGATGTCCTGGTTTCCAATCAAACTTCACTTCTTTTTACGCGAAGGCCTCTCCAGAATACTGCCGCCGAAGTGCGGCTTGGTGCCAGCCAAGCACACGAGCGCGCTGTGGGGGCGGGAAGGGGGCGGGGCAGGCAGGCGAAGGGGCACCTGAGAGAAGACGTTGAAAGTGATGCGCAGTTCGACGAGAGCCATCAACCGCAGGCGAGAGGGCGGCTGCTCCTGAAAGAGAGCGGCCCGTTAGAAGAGAGCAAAGCGCATGGCCAGCATGTCCGCTTTCCATGCATCACGATTCGATTTTCGATGGAGTCTCGAGAGATTTGTAGCTTCCACAACAAATGGAGTCACATTGACTGAATGATTTATTGTTTATAGGTACGTTAACTGATATGGTCATTAGACACCTTACTGTAGTGAATGCTTTTATGCAGGAAGGTAGTGGTGCCGAACCTGCTCTACACATCAACTCACGGAGGATTCTACAGCTTTGCTATGCAGGGCAGCGCCCCACGCGGGACAAGTTCTAAAGTAATGACTGGTCTTCCGATATGCGTGGAAGTGAAGTGTATTTATGAGTAAGGAAAGAGGATAGGAAACGTCAAAGGAAGAAACGATCGCGCGTGGTCTTTGGGCCGTTTGCTAAGGCCCTTTTCCGGGTTTCGGAAGAGTTTGATCAGATCAGCTGGCCACTAGAATTCTCCTGGAGACAGCGTCTGAAGGCTAGCTGTAAAGATGGTGCCAAAATTCCGTCACCGCTGGGACCGAACTCTAGGACCTTCCGGTTAAAGTCTTTGCATAGACAGCGGCAACGCTGGCTTTGTGGTAACTCAGCCAGTAAAAATGCCAGTCTCTGTGGTTGTGCAATAGGAAAATTGCTGCTGTAAGTGTAACTCATGAGTAATAAGCATTCCCGATGTGAAACGTGTTACTCGTAGAGTCTGTTTGCGCTTCAGCACTCTCTGGTCGCATCGGAATCGTAAATCCCTCGGCGTAGTTGGGATTGACCAATCATGTCACAACACGGAAGAAAACTAAAACTTTCTTAATTATTTATGAAGTGTTAATATTAATTCAATCAGTTCATTTGCACTCTCAATGTTGCGAACTATTTTCAATACGCTTGGTTCGTCAGCTTAATCCTCATGGGTTACGTCCCCTAAACAGTTTAAAAATATTCATTCTTTTTACCGACTGTCTTGAAACTACTTTTAAAATTAATAATTAAATTTTTTCAAAGGATTGGTTGCCCCGACCGAGATTCGAACCCGGGCCTTCATTGGGATTGGGAACCACCATTGATTAGAGCAAACCAGAAACCAGTGCGTAAACCAGAAAACCCGGGTTCGATACCAGTCGAGGCAACCAATCCTTTGAACAAATCTAATTCTGAAAATGCATTGTTACTCAGTAACACGATCAAAATGTGGATTTCTCTACAGTTGCGGAATATATTCCCCGAGCGTAAGTGCGTCCAAAAAAGTGACGGAAATGGTGACAATTTAATATTTTTAAATTAAGTTTACTGACTATAAATTTCAGAGGCATTGACATTTTTAAATCGAAAAAATTATATCAACGCAATAATGTCTATCCAAAACAATACATAAATAAGACTTTTGATTGTTATCACTGATAAAATCACTTGAAATCATTGTTTCTATTAATGTTTTATTGAATAGTAGAAGTTAGAGCAAAGTGGTCAATAATCGCTAATGTGACCCTATGATCGATCCTTTTCAATTTTGTCTATATATTTAGGGTAGGTAAGTGCTCATATTGAGGTTCCTGGTGATTGAGTTTTGGAGTCAAAACTTCTGCTGATTCATTCAAAACAAATATTACAAATCATATAACATCAATATTCCGAATCTCCACAAATCAAAGTTTTAAACACAACACGTAAATTATTGCACGGGAACGATCTGTCATACAATATTGAATTTTGCGAAACTGGTTCTATTTTATATCATCTGACGAGATATTTTCATACACATTTTATAGAGTGTGTATAAAATGGTTTTATTTCTTCATACAGTACAGAAACATTTCAATGTTAACAGTTTTTTAGGCGAAAATTGATGTGAATGGAAATTTAACCATGAAATTCATGTTTAATTCGATATTTGAATGAAAATAAGATTGATCTAATTTGATTGAGAAATCAATTATATAGACGAAGAAAATATTCTTTTTTTACAACGAGAAAAGAATATGAAATAAAATGACCTTTAAAATGTTTGCAAAAATATACATGTTAATAAAATTACGTTGTAGGGTTGAAATATTCATTCTGAATAGTAGTCAAGATCCACAAGATGCAAATATTGTTAATATTCTTTAATTTGAAATAAACGAGTGACAAACAGCAATATACGATAGGCCTAGTGTAGGACTAGACTACCAAATAGGAACAGGTGATTACATCTTCCTGTTCAAGATGATGATGCAGATGATTATGATCAGTAAATGACGAAAAACAGCGTTGAACGTGGCATGGCAGTTACCCACGCATCGCAATGTATGTTCTCTTTAAATCCACAGTGCATCAGCGCACCGGAAAATTATCTTCCCAGATATGTCCTGTTGTTTACTCCACTCTTTCGAAAACTGGAATATTTAATTTTTGTAACCGTGAATTCTGTAGTTAGAGCTCAGAGACTTCGTGTTTAGGATTTATGGCTCACATTTAATCAGGTTTTACCTGGTTTTTGTTAGCACACAAACTATTGATCCTAATATTCGCAACCAACAATACTTGAAATATATCCAAGATTCACGCCTTCACCACTCAATGCTTTCCTAAATTGTGAACTAAGTGTTGTAGATGAAGTAGACTGATAATAAAGTAATTTATATTTTTTAAATCTTCACTCATTTCCAGTTGGTTTTAAAATTCTACGAAGACATTTGTGTATTGATAATTCAGTTGAGGTTTTTTCGAATCCATTCAAAAACACAATTCATTGCTCCGTATGTAGCGGTGGGCGCGTGCACTCGTCCTAATGAAAAGACATCACCGCTTCCACGCTTTAAATGCGAGAAATTCTGATTTATGGCCGTAAATTCACGTTGAGTTTGATACCAAACTAATGTTTGTTAAACTCTCAACTGAAACCGCTGTTCTAAAAATAATTGTATAAATTACTTTCAGCGTTTTTATCCTCGCGTCTGCCGTTTGTTCTGAATGCCGGAACTGCACCCCCCAAAAAAGTCTCTCGGCGCGAATTGTCACAAGGCGGCCGCTCTGAAGTCCCACGAGTGGTGCTGTGGAGGGGCCGGACGGAGCAATGGGGCGAGGCGGTCACAGAGAAAGAGAGGGCCGGGGAAGCGAAAGAGCGGTATGTGTTTATTCCTTGCTCACGGACAGGGCTGGGGGAAAGGGCCCGGCAGTGACCAGTTGAAAAATGAATGCTCCTGTCGGGATGGTTGGGCGGAGGCTGAGGGGGGACGAAACGAGCGAGAAGCGAAAGAGGGTTATGGCGATGTAAAAGGGTGCGGGTGAGAGAACTGGAGGAGGAAGACGTTTCGGTGGCACAACCTAGAAACAACTGCTGCTGTGATTCGAATACAGATAGCTGCATTGCACAAATGGGAAGTTATAGAGCGGACTGTATATTCGGAAGAAATTTCTTAAAGTAGGAGGGATTTTAAGGTTCAGTTTCCATGTTGCTTCTTGCTGGAGGAGTTGACAGATGGAATGTACCATTCTACTTCTAAAGAAAGGGGAGCGAGATTCTGTGTGAAGAGGGTGCATTCGTGTTCGTAAATTTCAGACAGAATAATAGCAGTTTTTATTTCCAGCTATTTCAATAGAGGAGTGGTTTTAAGCATCTCAATTAAAACGATGCAATTATTTTCAGATTCGATTAATTTCTTAGCAATATAACATACAATCCTATACGTTCACATCGACGGACGTTTAATGTCCTTATTCAGTGGCTTTGGAATGTACTTCGTATCAATAGAAATATTGTAGAAAAGACTTGACATATAGAAAAGACAAAATAACGAATATATGTCTTACAGTGTTACAAATTGCCTCACTTTTACCTGAAAAAATTATATTCCGTGCAAAAATTAAAACAATTTGAGCATGAATAAGTTTGATACGCATTTATCACAAATAATAATTGCTTAAGAGAACGAATTTGGCATCAATAAAATTACGTTTTAAAAATACTTATTGCTTTTTTAGATGGAATGCTTCGTTCAATATTAAGCACTTCACATATGTGTTTTCAGGCTTAAGCTAGTTAAAATATAAGCTAACTTAATCTAAACATCTAAGAGTATACTTCAGAGGAGAATCTTGGGGTTATGAATCATGGTTGGCTGAGATTTTGCAAGACGTCAAGTGGGAATCTTTGTTTTACCCAAGAGCAGTTTAGTTTTTTCGCTTGTTGAAAATAGGTTAGCTAGTTGGTACGCCTGTTAAGTTTCGATAGAAGGTGTGTAATATATGAGTTTTTTGGGTTTTTACTGTATTGAAATCGAGGTAACATTATGTATCTACGCAAATTATATCTCCATTCGTAGTACAAAAGAGGACAGTGATACAACATAATTACAATAAAACAAAAACTGTGTGTGGTACCAAGGAGTTTTACTCTACCCACCTCGTCGTGGTGATACCAGAAGATATACGCAGGCGGCTCGGGGCTGTACTTGATGATGCACGTGAGGTTGATGGTGCTGCCGCGGTCCACGTGGAGGTCAGGGCCTCCCAGGATTTGCGCCGTGGGAACTGCAACAACCACGATGCAACGTCAGAACGCAGAACCGACAAGATGCAATATCAGATGCAGACTGAACGAAAGGTGCATCATTGAAACAAACTTTTAGGGCATGTAGGTTGCCGATTCGTTGATCGCTTGATTAGTGACTTCGGGTGCGACAACAGCCGACTCATAAGTGTAGTGTATGATTTATCGCGGGAGATGGCTGTGATCTCCGGCTGGATGGCGGAACCTGTGTCCAACGACGGCTTGCGCGGATATCCTCATCCAGGTGTCTCCTACCAGCGTGGCACAGCCCCAGACAGCACAAGCTCTGAGCTCATGACTGGTCTCCCGTCGAGGGCCGTGCTGTAGCGCATGTGAATGTAAGTAACGGAGGAGGAACAGAAATATCGCGTCCGGTCCGTTTGTTAGGGCACTGCTCCGGCATTCCACAGGAATTGATCGTAGAAACCACGGAAAACTACCGATCAGAGCAGCCCGCCACTGGAGTTCTCCTCTAAGCAGAGGCTGAATTCGACCTAGCAATCTAGTTATCTTGCCACTAAGGACACCTAGAACCTCCCGGTCAGAAGGGCTGCAATGACATCAGATGATGCCCTAAGCCACCTTCGTCCGTGTAGGCGGTCGAAGATGATTACATTTCGCCAATGAACTTGTAGAGGAAATTTCATATAACTCACTTACACATGTGAAATTCGACCCTGATTGGCAGGCACGTCGTTGGGCAGTGGTGAATTGAATGCGTTTTATGATGTCGATAAAGATACTTTGTGTAACTACCCAACACCAACGCATGATAAGTTGCACCCGAATCAGGGCCATTCATCACACGTGTAACGGTGATAAATAACATTTCCTCCCCTTAAGTTCAATTTATAAACGTGTGTTACTTTTATTCTGAATGACCTGAATGACTCATCTCATCTCAGGAAGCATAACAACTCCGCAAGTCAGTAGATCTGACGCTTCCAGGAAATAATATATCTTTGCTGCCAGGCAATGTGCAGTTGTTAACTTTTCAAAAAATATGTTCCATAGATTTCCGAACGAGAAACATGGGCAGAAAAATTACAATGTAAAATAACAATTTAACATTTAAAATACGACGAATGTGTGTTTTGTAAGTATTTTTACTGACTGAACTGGTTTGACATTACTTCTTTATGTGCCGTACCCTGATCCTCAAATGTTGACATTTAGAAAATCTGCATCTAGAATGATCTAATCTTATACATCATCAAATATACTTTGAAAAATAAATTTATTATATTTTTGATAAAAAAATAAAAAACTGAAGAACAATTCAAGGTGAAATAATAATAATAAATTAACACCGAGGATGTGTCAGCTTAGAAATGAACAAGAGAACTGAGGATTCCTCTAGTTTTCGAAAGATATTTTAAATATTATATTTTTAGCATGATGTTACAGGTGAGAGAAAGAGTATTTCCTCAAGACATATAGAAAACAAAATAACACAAAATTTACAAAGAACATTTGAAGAATGTTTCTGGGCAAAGAATCTATTCATATTGAAGTCTTTATATTAATGGTCCTAACACAACACAAACTTTCAGAACAGACTTATCATTAAGCAACATATCCGAAATTTCTCAAAATACAGAAAAGCGTTTTCACAAAAGTTTTTGGGGGAATAAAAATCACAAACAATGGGTATGTGCACATAACATTATTAAAGCATGAACACAAGATAAATATCTAAAATACCATTCGTTTTTAGATCGCACTGCATACACGCAGTTTTCGACCACTGCATTGTCTTCCACTCACAATATATGCAAAGCTTCTTTCTACTCTTTGTTAGTAATCACTGGGAGAGACAAAACAAGACACACGTTAATAAATAAGCAAAGAGTGGTTTTATTTAAAGTTACGACGTGTTTTTTAAAAATACTTGAGCTGCAATTATTTCTACTGAAAATAAGCATTTCAGTTTTTTAAATTAATAGTGTATTTTTTGGCCGACAATTATTGCCTTACCAATATTTTAGCAAAAAAATAAAAATAACATACTGAGGGTTGTCCCGGAACGAACCACTAATAAACATGTCAGAATTTGCTATTAATATTTAAAAAAATACAAAAAAATTGTTCGATTTTTTAATGTGAGGGTAGGCCTATCTATAGCTTTTATATAAGGTAGAAAATTTGTAGAAAACAATTTCAGAATAATTTAAAATAAAGCGTATGATTACAATTTCGTTTAAAAGCAAATATGACACGTTTCTAATATCAAGTACAACCGAGAATACATTTCGTCTGCCGATTCAGTTCGTTAGCTGAAAATTCTACAACTACGAGTGTTATTAAGAAGAGAAACTCCTTAAGTACTATTTACAGAGCAAATAAGAACGCTGTTTGTATTGACTATCTTTCTTGTTTGTTCTGTCAAATAGTACTCGCGACCTCCGACACCTGTGCTGTGTAATTTCACAATGGTTCATTTTTGTGCGATACGGATTTTCTATTTACCTCCCAACGGCAAAGAAACAATATTTTTAAAATTTGTAAAAACCTGAAATAAGCATGGCAATGAATATAAGCAGAACAGAAACATATGTTGTAAAATAAAACAATTGTCCATATTAAACTAATATTACTATACTAATTCATAACATGAATAAATTTTAAAATAAACAAGATACTTTATTGGAAAACATGTTTATTCTCTTAAAAATATTTCAATATTTAAAAAAAAGAGACATGCATTCAGAATACATAATACCAAAAATATGAGAATAATTTTAGAAAATACAAAATGATTTTACTTCCGTAACTTATTTACACAAAAAGGAAAATTCACAGTGGAATGTGGAAGCAATTCCGTACACCATCTGTATATATACGAAGAACACCGTCCCAAAATTTCTCACAAAGCAACATGTCTCTAAATTAGATGTTATAAATCCAAAACGTTGCGATAGAACACTGAACCAGTTATTTGACTGTTCTATTGTACTGGAAAATAGCCATTGAACATTTCTGTCTAACATTTAATAAATGCAAACAATTCCAGAGGGCGCCCAAAATTCCACCTCACTAGTGTGACGGCATTCATTTATTCCTTGATCGTGTTCATTCTGAGTAATGTGTTTAAAACACTGCATTTATAATAATTTATGTGTACATTATACGAAACTGTTTAATAGAGTTGAGAAAAAGTATAAATTTAATTATTATATTTTTGTGTTCTGTATGCGAAATTTAACATTTAAAAAAATATTTACATCATAACTCAGTAACAGCCTCAATGTTCATGTCAATGTTTTACAGGTTATAGAAATACCTGTGAGGCACTGACAATATTGATTAAAAACGTGATGTCAGCTATGAAGATTGTTTCTAACAGAATTTATTTTGAACGTGGAACAATTATTAGATGGTAAACCCTGAATTCGAAATAATTTCCTGTCCCTTCGTCCCCTCCGTTTGGTGCCTGCTCTCTCTTTCCCCAAGTGCTAATTTGTCGATTGAAGTACCTGTACACACATACATATCGCAGCGCATTACGATAATTCCCACACGCTCTCAAGATTGTGAAACACTCCCGGGGCCCAGCACACTCCCAAACCCGCTGCCAAGTCACGCTCCATGGGCTGGGCACGCAACGTGGAAAACGCACGCCTTACGTGCACGTTTATCAGCAAGTCTCTCTGACGCCCGTTCAAACGGCGAATCAAGCGGGCGGTTATCGCAGCCCGCAAAACTATTAGCCTGTCCAGCGCTGTTTGTTCTCGCGGGACGTTATCACACACTTTGGCCGCGCTCTTTTATACATAAATAAACTAATAAATAAATAACCTCTCCCGAGCATACAGCTGTCAACACACGCCGTAGAATTATCGGTACGGAAAATATCGGCCTACTGCAAGCTCTGATATCTAGGGTAGTGGTTTTTATATTTGTTGTGGTCTTGTAGATACGAGAAATGATGCCTGCAGCGACCGCATGATTTGGATCACGTTTAGCGCAATTTTCTATTGCAAAAAAATACATATTTCCGTTTGAAAAGAAATAAAATACTGAAACAAAAAAGAGGATGTTGTAATACGTAAGTTACTTTTTAAAGTAACATAAATAATGCACTTATTTGATTACAATTTTGTGATGCTTGAATTTGAACTGAGCATCCCAAATACTGTAGTGGGTCGCAATTATATGTTTTTCATATTCCGTCCATATTTCATTCCGAGACAGAAGAAATACAAGTGAAGACACGGATGAAGGAATACACGAGTTTGCAATGTTTGATGTCTTTTGGAGCCTGCCAACTTGAGAACAAGCACGAAATCAACCCTCAGAAGGGCATTGAACGTTCTTGAGTGAGGACGTAAAGTTGGGCCATGCGTTTGTGGGGTAGAGAAGAAGACTTTAGAAACTGAAACTCCCCAATAGCATTCAGCTCATTTTATTAATATTCTTGCAGTACAAAATAAACATTCACTTTGGGAATAGGTTTTAACTCTTTCTGCCCCCTTTTGTCTGCTAGCTTCAAGTAGCTACAACAGATACGGTCACAAATGGACGTTTCTCATTTGTCTGTGGACGCATGCGCCTCATTGTGCCTGTGAAAATACGATTCTACGCGCGGGCACAGTTTCCCCTTTCTCCCCAGACAATTGTCCCCACGTTCCAAACGAGAACCTAACGACGATGTCCGTCACCTATTGCAATGAAAACATCCGAATATAATATTATGTGCTCAATAGTTTTTACTTCCTCGACTTACTACGTAAGTTAACTTACTAGGAGAAAGTATTGGAATAGTGCGGCAAAAGTCGACGTTTTTCGACAGCATAACTCTTATTGTCGCCCCTGTAACGAAAAGGTGAATAAATCTTTTTTCTGAGTCCTTCGTCTAACACGTTGTTCAGACAGAATATATGCTTTGTGTTTCCTTGGTACCTAAAAATCGATTGATAGCAAAACACGTCTGCGTGCCTGTGGACAACGCTAAGGTCTAAACCGTTTAGATGATTTCCTCCTAATTTGATACTCTCCCATTGATCTGTACGAATTCGAAGCCGAGAAAGTTTGTAACGGTTGTTTGGATTTTTGCGGGTACTATTCATAAAGACTCATTTTTATAATTTTCTTCTATAGCGAATGGCTCAGGTTTCATTTTCGATGAAATCCTTGGTTTTCAGAAACTTGAAAAAGTTTAATTTCTTTCTTTCTACAGCTACAATATTTAAAACAGAGATTTTTTCTTAATAAAACCAGTAGTTCCAAGAGAGCTTAAAATAAAGACATGTATAATTTTTCGAAAATGGTACTATTTATACCTGAAACATATGGAATTTTTAAACAATTGTTTTCTCAAAAACCATCCCAATTATTTAATGTTTTTAGTGGTAGATCTCAGGACGCTTAAAAAATGCCCAAGTTTACTTTCATTGAACTCTCAATTTTTTAAAATTGCTAACGTCAAAAATAATGTGAGAAGGTATGTACTGTTGTAGTACCAGTAGTTTCTTATTTTGTCAAATGTTCTGGTTTTACTCGAGAAAGATCATTATTTTCCAAACATTTGGTTACAAAATTTTTGTTTTTTCTTCTTTATATAATCCTTACTGACATATGACTAGAGGAAGATTCTAATGAAATGTTATTTTTCTTTTTGCTTTAAAACAAAGCCATTTAGTATAGAAATTAATTTTATTTAAGGACAAAAGAAAGTTACACATTTTATGTAACATTGTTTACATTTTTCGTCGATTCGGACTAATAAGTCATTTTTTATAATTTGTCGTAATTTTGTATGCATTTTTTGTAAATTAGATCGATTATTTTAATGGTACTTGCTTCACATAAGATTAACGAGACGTGTTC